CTCAGAACAGGTCACAGCATTCTCTTTTCCTAAGTTCACTGCACTACAAGGGAGAAAATATATTTCTGGGGCTGAAGGAAAACCTCATCTTATAAAATGCGTCCTGAGTTTGTGAGCCAAGCGTCCGCTTTTAGCAGAAGGTGAGATCATGTGCGGACACTTGCGACTTGCTTTGTCTGTCGCATACCTTCCTCTTGCTTGACATCTCCAAAAAACAGCACAGTGCTTTAAACATTAGAGGATATAACTGGAAAGAGAATCAGAATACTGCAGGCTCCCTGCTTTCATGCTGACTCAGCCAACCAGGCGCTCAGCTAATTTCCGCGGCGTTGCAGAAGCTTCTTCACAGTGAAAGCTAAGAAATGTTTTTAATTGATTAGAGCCTCCCAGAAAGCCAAAGCTAATTTGTCAGTTCTCAGATGAGCTGTTCTAAAAATCTTGTTATCTGGTTACACAGATATTTGAGATAGTTTGGGATGGCCCTCTGTCACTTCTTTTCAAGCTGCATCAGTCACAAGTAGAGAACCTTCTTACTTCTTTTAGAAGAACGACTTTCTCCTGTGCAGGACTACTCTGCAGTTGTGGGTGAAGCAAACTGCCATTGATTTAAAAGGAAAGCAGGACTGAAAGGGTCACTGACCTCCAGCTCAAAAACTTTGGAGTCCAGTTTCAAGGATGAGACAAAGCTGAAAGACTGAAATAGACTGACTTCAAACAGGAAAAAAAAAAAAAGACTGAATAGCACGAGAGCAAACTATAGCATGACTAACCAGTTATTTTGTTGAAAAATAGCTTTATTTGACATTATGCTTATGACAACCTTAGAGACACACTGACAGGTAAAGACAGACAGAAACAGAACTATTGATCTGTGGGGAAATGACTAGCTGGTGCAGACTTGAAGGGAAATCCAACGGCAGTGATGTTTGGATATGCAAAAATCAGCCATGTAAAATGGACTGCATGGAGCTATTAGAGGATGTGAAACACAAATATAATATTTTAAAATCTTAAGAGGCTGTGATGTTGAAGGCTACAGAGGTGTAAAAATGAAGGAAAAGTTAAATAGCTCAAATCAGAGTTCTGAGCAGATGTTTTTCTTTATTTAAATAAAACCTGAATGGATGACTGATTTGTCTTCTTTTAAGTGGTAAAGCAAGCTAACCATCAAGAAGAACAAATGAAATTAATTTCTAAATTTGTTAAAACCCCCAAATTATAAGTCCATACTTCTTTTCTTCATGTGCAAATGTGCTCTCAGATTTTTTTTAATTAATGTTTTCCAATATGCAGTAGGGAATGAAGGAAAAGTTAAATAGCTCAAATCAAAGTTTTGCATAGACATTTTCACTTTGTTTAAATAAAAACAGAATGGATGACTGATTCATCTTCTTTTAAGTGATAAAGCAAGTTAACTATCAAGAAGAACAAATGAAAATTAATTTCTAAATTTGCTAATCATAGGTCCATACTTCTTCATGTGTAAATGTGCTCTCAGATTTTTTTTAATTAATGTTTTCTAATATGCAGTAGGGTGCCACAATCATCAGAATAAGCATCAGTAGAGCTTTGCAAAGGAATTGGTATCCCTTAGAAAATATTCAAATCTTTGTATAATACAAACCAAGCAATGACTATACCACAACATATTTCACTTATAAAAATAAAATTATAGGCACTTAACATTATCCAGAGCTCACTTTCAATATATTTTTCTTAACTGAAGAATTATTTTTCACTTCCATACATGCAAGTATAACCTACACATGTATTACCACAGAGCACACATCTGAGAACAGATAAGGATAATGGATTGTGGAAATCTTTCTGTTGATTTTAATAGGCTTTGGATTAGGCCCTGCAACAATAACTGTGTTATGTGACACGGGCATTTGCTTTGGAACCTTACCCTGGGTCAAGTAACTGCATCTGGGAAATACAGTTTCTGTTTCTTCCCGGGCCTTTTTGGTCACATCTTTGGAAGATCAATTTTGACAGTACTCATTTAAATGTTCCTTACTTCTTAGTAAAAGAGAGATAAAAGTGGCCCACAGAAATCTCAGGAGGAACGTATGAATTCAACCAGAGCACGAAATGCGGGTTATATTTTTTCTGTTATGTACTTACATAGATGTTACCTTGCCAACATTCAGGAATATATTTCAAGGCTTTCTCTGTACATTCTACAGTGTTGCATTTTTATCTCTAGTGGTTATTTTATTTTATATTTTATTTTATTTTATTAAAGATGATACAGCCACGAGAAGTGGGAATATTCTTATTTATTCCCATAGCCCTAAGAACTATAATTTTAAGAAAAGCACCAAATATCACAAATCTTGTGGTAAAGTGGAAGAGACATCAACACCCAGTGATACAGATAGCACTGCATGGTGATTCCATATGTTATGTTCTACCTACTCAGCACATTTCTTATGCTAAAAATAACTGTTTGAAGAACATATTTAACTGTCATTTCTCAACAATATTGACTGCAGCTACCTTAAGACAAGTAGTCATCTTCCTACATTGCTTTATTCAAGGGACTTCCCAAAGTATTTTAGCTACAAAACAATTTCGAAAGGTCTGAAACATATGTGTAATTATTCAGCAACAGTTTAGGAATTCTTATATCAGGCTTCAAGATAAGGGTTACTTACAGTAGTGGCATCAACTGACTAGAATAAGAATCTATGTGAACAAAGTATGTTAGTGAAATATTACTTAAATCTGACATTAGTACCCTGACCACATGTGCTTCTTATTTTCTTACAGATAACAATTTCCTTGATCATAAATACTGGCCTTGTAGTAATACAATATGGCATCAGAAACTCTCTTGTTCTTTATCATGCAATAGATGTTTATATCATTTATATGCACACATTTCTTACAAAGACAGTTGGAGTCAAGATAAAGGCAGACAAAAGATCTATTGCAAAGCAGGATAAGAACCTCCTCTTTGCTTGGTATTTCATTAATAAGCAATGCACAGCTGCCTTACTCATGTCTCTGAATAATACAGTCACCAAACACAACTGAGCGTGGATTGCAGAAATCTTTACCTTGTTGTGAAAAATCAAACTGGACCTTCACCTTCTATTTCAAAAGGTTGCCTACTGCATATATTGCCTTAAAATTCAACAGCTATAATAGAGAGAAAGACAGAAGGTATCTTTCAAACTTGCACTTTTTGAGAGAACTTCAAGTTGCATTTTATATCCAATAATCCAATTCTGTGGATATGCCCATATCTACTAAATAATTCTCTCTTTAATTTGCTGTGGGACTGAGGGTAACTCTTGCATTGCAATGGCTACATACAGAGTAAGCCAAGCAAAGAGGAAAATGAAAGGGACCTGTCAAGATGGAAATCCACACAGCAAATGCGAAGACTAAAACAGTGTGGGCTGGGAGGGAGGTTTGAACAAGACAGGGGAACAGAACATTGCTGGATCTCAGAGTACCCAAAGCTTTAACTAACTGTGCAATTACAGTTGTCGAAATCAGAAAAATTGTGGTCAGTAAGGTATACAAACCTCTGTAATGCTTGTTATGATCTCACGGCTTCTCTAAGCCAGGACATGAGAAATGGGAAACAAAGTTAGACCATCTCTAACACTGTCCCATCTTTAGGTCACTGGTTGGGGAACTGTGGTTTACAGAAAGCCAAATATTTTGAATTCACATCTCTTTTCTTGGTGCTATTTATAAAATTATTACTGTAGCATTAAAATTCTGTTTATAAATGTTCCTTTAGTCATCTACTCATAGTCATCAGGAATCAACTAACCTCTCTCTTAAAGCAACACCCTTCTGCCATAGGCAAACATCAGCCCTTTCAGAAGTGTGTCAGAAAGAACATATTTTTTTTCCTCCATAACTCTTCCTGGGCAGCTCACTGTGAACCTCACTCTCCCCTCTCCTAAGAGGAACAAGTTACCTCTTTGTACTTTGTTTCACAAAACATGCCTATCAATTTATCTACTTCTATTAATAGCCCTGCCGGGTACATTTTCCAGTGTCTATGAGTGTTATTGACCACAGCTGTCAAGAATTGTGCTCGGTGTTCCAGATAAAGTGATTCAAGGGTTTTGTATATGACACTGATAAATCCTTACATTTCCTTCAGGAAATGCCAGATGAAGTATCTTACAGCTGTATCTATCTTTGTTATAGATGAATTAGACTGGTGTCTTATACTAATCCTGTGATCCAGCACTGGATCATTTGGCCCCCTTCTTTAGAAATGATTGCTACTAGTTATTGATGACATTTTGCACTATTACATTTCGCTCCATTTCTGTTTCACCCACCCTCAAAATCCCTAGATTTATCCTGTATGGCATTCTGAGTCCATCTCTTTCTGGTGATGATCTCCTGACTTCATATTATTGGCACAGTTCTTTGGTACATTTCTACATCTGGTTGATATTGCCAATATTGACAGCCTTTAAAAAGGAAACCATAAGGGATTCTACTAATCTACATCTTTTGGTTTGATTTCTTGTCTTTGCTGCCTTATTTCCACATTCTTCAAGAAAAGTGATGTAAAGCAATTAATTATAACTTCATGAGAAGTACAGAATTTTGCATCTAAAGAAGTAATTTATATGGGGTAGCGCAAAAGGTGTGCATTTTGTCAGAGTGCCACAGAACGATGATGAATTATAAGGGTCAATGGGAAAGATTAACTGTTATCAGCTGCTTACAAAGGGGCAACACAAACATGAATGCTTTCATATTAGAAACAAACCCAAATCACACAACAACTGCTTGAAGTTATGCAACTTGTTAAATAAATCCATACCTGTCCAAGTATACTGGAGACATACAGGAATTTTTTAGGCAGTTATTTAAATTCTTTTTATCAAAACAATCAATTAAATGTTTATCATTTCCTTCAGAGTTTTCTATCTCAACCTACAGTCGTATACCAATACGTGAAATAAATCACTAGGAGATGACTTCAAGTAGACTTTTAAAATCCTCTTACTAACCTTGGGTGGTTTAAAAGGATAGTCCGGTGAAAAGGTAATGTCAAGGAAGAAAACTCCACCTTCATATACAGACCCTGGAGGTCCCAGTATGGTCGACCTCCATTCATAAATGTTGTCTCCTTTGGGTCCAGCACTAAAATAGAGAACAAAAATATAACTTAACAATCACATACACATAAGAATATCCATCCATCAGCTACAAACTACTATAGTAGTGCAATAATACTAAAGGTTAAAATTATGTATGTTTATTAAGTTAGCCTGAGATAACACACGTAACTGGTGTCCTTAGTTCAGTCGGTGAACTGACACATTCATCCATAAAGAAGTATTAATATCGCTGAGATATAAATTATTTAAATAAATATTGAAAATTTCCTAACTGTCTTATCTCAAATATTTCAGAGGGCAGATGTGCAGTATTTACAGTACAAGGATACAGAAACCTGGCTGAGATATCTTGTCACTGTCTTGCCTTACAAGCCATCCTATTTTCACCTACCTCCTCATCCACCTCCCTCATCAGTCAGTAGTAGTGTAATTGCACACATTATCATATAGCACGTGATGTACTAAAGACTTAGCACTGTATAAATGACCTTGTAGCTGTGCTTTCTAAGTCTCTATCCTAAGGACTCCAGTCATTAGTACAGAAAGCTGCTTTACTCTGCAATTGTTACACTATCTTGAAAAACTTATAAATAGAAAGCAGGTTAAACTGTAGGATTATGTAAATTCTCACTCCTCATTTAAAAACCTGGCACTGGAACAATATTTGAAATATCTAACACATAGTCTCATATGTGGAAAATGGAAAATCTTGCACCCACATAGTTAAGCTCTGGAGGAAGCAAATTAAAAATGAATAAAGTTTTGGGGCATTACTCTTCTATAGGCCAAAACAACCTTTTTTCAGGCAATATAATGCTTGTCCAGGGAAAGAAGATACCTTAATCAGGGTGGCCTCTTAAGGAAACTGCAGATTCCTTTTTGGTTCACAGCCTACTGACAGAAGTCACTGATACAGGACCTGAATTTTAATTAGGATCAATTGGGATGGTGACTTATGGATGTCTGGCTAATATTTTTCACAGAAAGGTAGTGTTGGTAGATTTTTCAAATAAATGACGCAGTACTTTCTTAAGGCATTTCTTGTGAAACAATTCTTGTTATGTTTGCAATAAAGATTTCCACAGTACACAGGGGTTTGTGAAATAACCCTGTGTGTGGAACAGATGAAAGCTCTTGGCTACGCTCCATGCCTCACAATGCACCCAAGGCATACAATTATTATACGACATCATGTCATGTTCACTGCTCAACTATTCATTTTGTTCACTGAAAGTTAATAAAACCCTTTTTCACCTGAAATTCCTTGGGCTCCCTTCATTAAAACTTCTGACTGCACGATTCCCTGCATACAACCGAGCGACTCAGTACTGTGCAGCCTAGTTCATTAGTCATGGTACCTACATCAATTTTCTATAATAGCTGCTAATGCTTCTTGGCTCTCTAAACTACGTGCTTTCTTAACAAAAATGGGTTACACAGAATATAATATAATGGAATATTCATTTTATATCAGCCTCAGTAACAAAACCGGCAATTGTTTTAAAGATAAAATCAGGCTTTTTAAGCATCACAATAGCAAAAGTGCTGCCATCCATTCATCCATCCATATTTCACACTGTCTATAATACATCAGGTTGCTAGCTGCCAAACAAATTTAATTTACCCAGTTCTCAGTTTGCATTAACCTTTGAATAATAAAGCACAGCTGAGACTGCTGTAAGAAACAAACCAGAGAATGAATAATTAAAACACCTTCTCTGCCTTTAGAAAGACCAAGAGTCAACGGGGAAGGTTTAATTGTGACTGAACTAGGCATTAAAGGGCTAATTGAACTCTTTATAAGCCCAAATGAATGTGGGTCTACACCCCTGCCACGGTACACAAGGTTCACAGAAAGTAAAGCCCTAAAAAATCAGACAATTGGTTCAAACATAAAAAGGCAAGGAATAAGGGTAGGCTAAATCTCACAGGAAAAAAAACAAACCTATAATATGTGAAGGAAATCCTTTCCCATTTTCTGCAGGAAAATGCTCTAATACTTGGAGAAGCAATGACTTGGTTGATGCCAGCAAGGTTAAAATGGAAGAGATATAAATGTCAATCCCAGAGAAATGGTTGGAAACAGCCAGAAACAAAAGGAAACCTCGCCTCTATTAGTGTTCATTTAGCCAGCAGGGGTGGCTTGGCTCCTTATGGACTTGAGCGAGGCCCACGTTTTGGATCAGATGCTAAAACTTTCTTTGACAGTGACATTTTCACAACTTCTATTATTTTTATTTGCTTTGCCTATTTGTTTAATTGCATTAACATTTGAAATGAGCAGTCATTAATTAAAATAGTCGGAAAATGCTCCATCTGCCAGTTGAACTGTTTCGGCACGTCCAGCTACAAGCCCAGCCTGATCACATTCTGCGGATGCTGATTAACATTAATTGAAGGTTTTCTTTGCAAATGAGAGATGGAGCTTTATTAAGTATTATTATTAATTTAAAGCATCGCTCGTATTGTATGCAGTGTGGGAAGACTGCTGCTGTCGATGTTTGCCTGCTCAGTGCTTGCTGGCACTGAGGCTGTTCAGCCGATGCAAAACACCGGCTCATGTGCTCAGCCAACAGCTGGCATTGAGGGCAAACACAATGCACAAGCGCAACATTTTTCTCACTTGCACATTAATAATACAAAAAGTTTGACAGGTGTATTTCCTTGTTTTCCTTCTCTCCTAATTGTTGAGCTTTTATTTATCCACATTATTGGCAACAAGAATGACAATTTTTCAGGCTTCACCAGAGAAAATTCCCATTTGGGCAAGCCCTCAGCCAAAGCCCTACTCTATAAGGTTTATAATGCAAGAGGATTTAATTGCCCATCTCTCTACATGGATATCTGCCCAGCACACTGAAGCCCAAATGTTCTACATTCAGTACGATTTATATTCCAGTTCTATTAATGTTACTGGCAACTAAACCGCAGGTCTCAAAGAAAAGTAAACTAAACATCCCAGTGCTTGAAATTATGTTATCTTTGGAAGGGTAGACTCAGATGTGCACCCGCTCGGCAAAGAGCGGACTAAATCTGTGTTGAACTGAGCTGACCCAGAGCCAGACCATAGACGTGCTGCTTGCCACTAACCTAGTGCTAAATCAATCAGCTTCAGGGGAGAAATAATGATGTCTCCAGCAGCTCCAGGTGGAAACGGCTGAATTATAAAGATAAGATGGTCAGGACAAGGACAGATCTGTTGACAGATATGCTGGCAGATCAGCAGCTTGGCCTCCAAGTATGAGTCCTGAGTCTTAACCCCTGGTGACTGTGCACAATAAAGACAACGCAGAGCGCAGCGATAAGAACGCAGTGTTATTCTGGAGCCTGTGCTCCAAACATTCCCAGCATATCTTCCAGGTGGGAATTGTAGCATAGGACTGAGGGGGTGCAGCTGAGCATGAAGGCTCTTGAGACTTAAAATTATCAACGTTTTGTCAAGAGATAGCTCTCTCCTGTTATTGTTCCCTTAAAACCGATGATACACCCCCCCAGAATACTGTCTCTTTTACTGGCTTTGCTCACTGGAAGAGCTGGGGGTGAGCGGACATCAAGACGATCTTATTTACTCCCTTTTATAATGACACGAGTTTGAATATATGAAATTAAGGACAAAGAAGTCGATATGCATAAAACTGTCCTTTGTATTTATTCTCTCTTGCTTTTCCTAATATAGCTCAATTCTGTCACCGCTTCCAACATTTACATTTGCAGGTGAAATATATGCACATCAGTCATAGTTAGTAGCAAAATTATTCAAATGTTACTGTAATTGAATCCATTTTACTTTAAATATTTAACATATTCAGTATTTTCTATTCCCTTAACCTGTTTAAGGCAGGCAGTCGCTGGAAGTAGTGCTGCTAAAAGCTGCTTGTTCAGTACAATTATAAACACAAAGCCTTGACTGCCTTTGGAATGTACTACAACATTCAATTTAAAACGATATATCAGTAAATTAACAGAAGAGTGTATGAAAACTACAGCATCTATGACACATAATGTAAAAAACCTATCTAAGAGAGGTAATGAAAGCACTGTAGATTTTTAATTTCATAAGAGCTGTGTTTTTTATAGAAATATACTCAATTTCCAGGACTTAACTCAAAAAAGGGAAAATACAAAAGGCCAAAGAAATAAAGATATTCCACATGTTCAGTGTGGATCAATCACATGCATCAATTAGTCATATGGAATGAATTGACCTAAGTAATGTTGTTATTTTCTCATCTAGCTTATATTTCTAGATAAGAGATCACATGCTTCCCTTATGTTTTTAACTAGAGGTAGTATAATCTCATAGTGGGTTTCAGGTGATGTGGAAAATGAGGACATGTTAATGTCTTCCTTTACATTTCCTGTTAGAATCCAGTTCTAAAGTGTAACAGTACTCCTTAGCAAAAGGGAAAGGTAACCCTGCAGCATAAAAAGAAGTGAGAAAAGCAATTGTAACTTGCATTGCCAACTAGTTCCAACAAGCTAACAGTCTTTGGAGGGAAGCACTCAGACTGAATAAAACAGGAAAACAAGATGCTTGCAAGACCTTCCCGTTTCTCAGGACTACTAAAGAAATACGGAGATTCTCCTGTACCAGGAGAGTTTAAGCTTATATTTATCCTTCTCCTTTACAACGAGGCAGAAAAACAAAAAAGGAAACAAGATATTCACTTTGTCCATGGCATTCATTTTTGTTATTTTTTTGTCTAATCTGAACTGCATTAGAGCACAAAAACACATATCAGACCTGAGTTCCCTTGCACTAGGTACAGTTTGAGGAGGATGCAGACCCTTTGAACTATCTACAGTAATATATGAAAGCAGAAGGAAGCCGGATACACGGGAGTCTCTTCCTCTTGCTTTCCTCTTATCACAAGAAGCCTTGACTTCATGATTTAAGAGATTTCCCTCTGAGGAGAAGAGCTCACTGCAGAATTATCTCTACTTATACAGCATACAACACAATTTCTTGCAATCCTGTGTTTCTCGCACATCTAACAGATATGCTGGAGCAGATCCTGCCTCTAGCTGCCCTTAGTGAATGCTTCTGGGAAGCCACATGCCCAGAGGGCAAAGTGAATACAAAAGTATCACAAGATCAGCGAAATAATTTAAGAGCACAGCTGGTGGGGGAAAAGGATGGATGTGACACAACAGAAGACTGCAGATTCAGCCTTCGAAGAGATACATCTCCTGAGAAACTCACACAACGCCTCATTAAAATAAACCCAATACATAAAATAAACTCTGCTCTCTGTTTTGAACATGTTGCCAATACTGAAACTGGTCCTGAACAGGAGTGTGACCTTGTCTTGTGCCACCAGTGTGTCTCAGCTGATAGGCCACTGAGGAAGAGCTCCGTGCTGTCCCCATGCCCGAGCTTTGCACTGCAGCCAGCAGTGGAGCTGCTAGATAACCTCAGTCTGGGCAGAAGTCAGCCAGCAAGGGCTGCGCTGAAGCTGGAATCACCAGATGCCTCTCAGACTCCCCAGCAACATAAAGTCTGAGCGCGTTCAACAAAATGCACTAGTAAGTCCCATCAGGTATTGGCACCATTTTTCTGTGAGCAGCTGGAGTTCCCACCATCCACTTTCCCCTCCATGGTAACTGCTGTGTCTCTTTGGCTTTAGGACAGATATGGACAGTGTCAGCAACACTGGTCACCTAGCTAACATTCACTTGCTGTGCTTCTGCTCTTCTGCCAGGCCTCACCTCTCTTCATTTTGCAGACCCACTTGACTACCACATCTGGAGTTTTCACACCCTTGTCCTCCCTCTTCATTGCCAATTCTTCTTCTTAAAACCCCTTATTTCTCTTTCCTGCTTGAGGGTGGTTATATCTCTTTGCATGACAGTGATTCATTGGTCTTTCTTTTCAGAGGCCCCTTCGTTCCCTTGGGTACCTGCAGCTCTTCTTCCCCTTGACATGCCTCATCAAAAGGCACCAGCCCAGTCTGCAAGTTTTTTCTCTTTTTCCAGAAAGGAGGAGGGGGTGGGAAGTGGTGCAGGGGGATTTTAATTCAGTACGGCAGTTATTCATTTTGTTTTCTTCCTTGTTGCCCTTCTGAGATGCAGAGAGCAAGCAGAGCGGGTGCTGCAGCAGTGGGGTGGAGAAGGGAAAGTGAGTCACAGCTGCTTGCCCAGATGCTACAGTGATATCAGGAGGTGCTTTTATAAATGTATGTAATAAACAGTTGCCAGAGCAGCCAAAGGAACACACTTCTACAAAACAAAAACAAAGAGACAGCAGCAAGCACGGAGACTGCCTGTGGCAATGGGCACAGTTGTATGGCTAATAACACCTCTGCTATGGATGAAATTATCTGGCTAGTCCCTGAGCACTAAAATCAAAGAATTAAAGAAATAAACCACTATAAAAATAGAGAGAAGTGATGACTTCTGGTATAATGTTGATGATGTTCTTCACCAAAAAATCTTCTGAAAATTCCTCAAATAAGATTTATATTTCTTTAATTTATCTTCATTTAACTTTCTTCATCAACACGATCCAAAAAGTGTCATTGAAAATACCAGAAGATGCTGCTGCTGATTTTTTTAGACCCAATTAGGCTGAGAAAAGGATCTATGACTTCAGTATTTTTGGTCCTGCAATAGTACTGGGAGTTCATGTGATGTGTATGTTGTAATATCAGCATAATTAGAAGTGGCAAGCATGATTTCGAGGTAGGTTTCACTACACGTATTTTTCATAATGGAAACTGAAGACAAAGTGACTGGTCTTTCTGACTTGTCACTCCAAAAATCAATGCCAGAAACAGAAATTTCATACAAAACCCTTACACCACTTGTCTGTCATTACAGTGACAGAATACAGCTGAAAAATTTTGATTGGACTTGCTCCCAGTTCGGAATTACATTTGTGACTGAGACCATCACAACAAACCCACCGTACTTTGGACCAGTGTGCCCAAGGTTTGTATGAGGCACCTTCTCTTTTTTTCTTGAAATCATCTCCATCTGGCTGCCTGTTGATGGAGCCCCTAAGAATTATTAATGGAACCTGAAGCACCTGATGAAGCTGTATTTTGTTTAAAATTCATGAGTTTTGACCACAATAAAAAATAACACAGATTAACAACAAAGTGAATTTCACTTAGTTTACTTCATTATTCACTTCTAAATAACACCACTAAAAATTATTAAAAGTATCCTAGCACTTTGGTAGATTGGTATTCAGAGAGTACTGTAAGACTTTTATTCTCTAAAGTCCTGTCTTCAGAGCATCCCTGAGAAAGAAACCATCATGAAGCGAACCATTTCTTAATGCATAAAGCAGTTATTTATATTATAGTATCTACAGCAATTTATTCATTGCAAACCCCATTACACAGTGTATGATCACAGCATGCTGTGTATTCACAATGAGATTTAAAAATGGCAATTTTGTTAAGTATTCTCCACTTTGTTCAGCTGAGCAAAATTACATAAAACCCTTCATAGAAGGCTTCCCTTGTTCAAAACAGGAAACATTGCTTTGTCTGCTATTACATATCTGTGGGCCTGATTCCCTCTTGTCACATCTTTTTTTAAAAAAAGTAACAGCACTGACTGTAGTTATATCTCTCTCACACCATCAGAAACAGACTGAATAGTTTAAACAAGACAAAATCTGTCTAATTCGCCTCTATGGCCTCTTTCAAGCATGATTTATGGCCATATTTTAGCAAACTAGTAACTAATAGATATTCCTGAGACGTCTTAATATGAACTTTGAGCTTGCAGTTCGCCCAGTGAGTTTATTTCTTTGCAGCTCCTAACTTGCCTCTCATTGAATCTTTCCCCTTCCCAACTTTATATTTCATTTATCAAAAGGTGACTGCTTTTTAATTTCATGATGATTTTCTTTATCCAGAACAGGTACAATCTAATATTCTTTGTTTTCCAAGTTAAACACACACACACACACCAAAAAAAAAAAAAAAACCCAAAAAAACAAAAAACACATAAAAAGGGCAGATAGGTATTATATTTTAAATTCTAAATCTAGTTTGAAAGGATGAGGCCACTGAGTGTGGACAGACGGCACAAATACCCCAAAGTTGCTGGAAGATTTTGTGGGAGAAAAGGCATTCTTTAAAATAGAATTGCCTTTTCAGTTTCTGTGGAAACCTTTGAGGCAGCACAGGGGTAAAGCAGACCAGCTCAAAAAGACTAGAAATCTACTTCATGCATGCATTACATTGAAAGCTTTGGATTTGAAACCCATTTGATATGTTCATTTGCTCACTTATATAAAAATGTTTCCAAATTCCCATTCATCACCAGAAATTATCTGAAAAAAATTCATGCACAATGTATCAGCAACGGGCAGCTCAGTTGACCTGTAACTAATTCTCCTTCACTTTCTGATGAAGCAGGACTTAATTTAGCAATTCGCTGCTAAGACAGCTGGAAGACCTTGGTCAAGAGTTGACTTGGGTTTTCAGCCTCTGATGTGGAAAACTTTGGATTGTTTATAGTGGGTGCATTTACACACAGCTCCGCATATTGTCTCAATACAAGAGTAATGTGTCCTCTGCACATAAGAGGAGTCAATAGCAAATAGATGCATTAGGGATAACCAGGTACCCAGGTCACTAAAAACAGAGCACATCCTCAGTTTTGCATTATTTTAAAACTAATAATTATATCAGGAATATTCAGGTATATATTTCATATAATCTGTTTCATATATTCATGAATATAATAAATAAGTATTTTATAACAGTGTTTACAAAATGAACTCTAGAGAAGAAGCACATTGGGCCCACTTTGAGGCCTATCTATAACATTTGTATCTTGCCTATCATTACTACCAAATGCTAGCGGAATAAAAACTGAGACTTTCAGACTTTTTTTTCTATTTATTGTGGTGGAATATGGCATGAAATTTCTTAGCAAAGAGCTATTTAATAACGATCCATTGTGACTATGCTAATATTCATCTTTCTCTATGTAGGCCTATAGGGAATCTTTTTGTAAAGACCTCATTTAGTAGTGTCCAAAAAACCTAGGGCACATAACTGCAAACTAATGAATTCATTAACTTTGGTATCCAACTTCAGCACAAAACATGGTTCTTTACTTTCTTTAATATATGTAACCATATTATAACTATGGTTTGGGGGAAAATATTATTATTTCTGCCATCTCCAACCCATTCGAACTCCAGAAGACTTGACTACTCTTATTTTAACATACAGAATTTTCCATATTATTATTGACCACTGAATTAACCTCCTTGGTAAGGCACCATCAAATACCAGAAGCATGCAAGATGGACATGTAAGATATTTTTTAAGCCTGATACAAAAGTAGTATCTTACTTGAAGCAATATTAGTGTATGGATACTCTGGAGTACACAGACATTTCAGCAATTGAGAATTATTTATACAGGATGATTTATAATATAGGTACACACATGTATGCTTACTATTATTAATACTAATAGCAAGGCAGTAATGTTTGTCAATGTCTGTGCATTCTCCATTTCTTGGGAAGATGGTTCTGTGTAACGATTGGGCCATGTGTCTTTGTCCTTTTATGAAATGATTTATCAAACTATGAAGGGCTTTGATTTGTTCATGGATGTCATCTTCAATATCCTGTCTATTGGAAGTTGCCTAAAGAGGAGCCTGGAAATTTTGTAACCTTATGAAACAACCATAATTTCGTAGCTTTTTGCTGAAGTGGCCGGATTTATTTGCATTTTATCCTGAGATTTCCTTTTGTGAAGTTTTAGAGACTACGGTCTCCACATACAAACTGCTTGTAAAACATCTCTCCGAAAATATCAATGAAGGAACAAAAAGAATTAAAGAAATTAGTATTCACAGAGAGTTCTCAAGCCAAAAATATTTTACCAACTATTCCTCTTGCTCTGCCTACCCTACAAACAGAGGAACAAGCTTGAACACAGACTTCTCTAATTTCAGTAAGAAATTCACACACACTTACATGTTAAATGCCTGCTTCTATGAGGAAACAACTCTATATTGTGGCATAGATTAACTAACATGATGTTAAACACATTATAAAACAAGTCATTTCCTTTCAAGTAAACAAGCCTATAAAGCCAACAGGCACAAAAAAAGGAAATTTGATTCTGAAATCCATATACTTCAAAAGCAGATTCCTTTTATTTAGTCAATTTAGTTAAGAGGCTGTCTTATTTGTGCAGATCACTAGTAAACAAAAGGAAATAAATTTGGAAATTGCTGTCAAATTGACACATTTTCACATTTGTTCTCCATTTGAAATTATTTTCTTACTTCAGACATGCAGACCAGCCATAGGTCCAAGGTGAAAGAAATCTTAAAATGTCTCAACTTTCTGCTGAGACCAAACACCCCCACTACAGACCACATGCTGACATTTTGGAAAAAAAAAAATTGGCAATTTTCTTTGCCATGTCTGTGTGGATGGACAAACTCATACCCCTGGACTAACTGAATTAGAGACAAGGAGATCTGGCAGAATCTCAGAGAGGGATTTAAGGGAGACTGTGACCCGAGCTTGGTGACCATTTGACTTCACCAGAATATATTCAAGATGTTTCAAGAACCCTGTCTCTTGTTGTGCAGGACTTACTTGGATCCATGACAGTGTAAACAGAAAAGATAATATGCAGAAGTTCCTCATTTTTTTGAGGCTGGATAATTTTCTCACAGCATCTTTTTGAGAGCAGCTTTGAAGCCAAAAGTAGCTTTACGCAGCACAGAGCTTGTTTTGTCACTAAGATCAGTGTATCTATCTGAGGTTGAGGATAAATTACTGTAAATTCAGACTATGGAGTCATCAAAGGCCCTTGTCAGACCTGCTCGTAGCCTCCCAAACTCTGGCTATGCCACCGCTTTGGCCATAAGAACGGGGCTTTCTACCTTGTTTTTCAATAACGGTGACGATGACTTACAACATCAGATGTGTCGAATGAGGCTACATTGTTCTCATCACGCAGATGTTCACCGTGCTCCCAAGATCAGGACTTCTGCTTAGAAGACCAGGACTAGTAATGGCTTATTTTCATTCCTTGTTTAATTCAAAAGTATTAGGATGGAAAGTAGTTCTGGGAATTTTGAAAGCAAAATGGCTTCAGGAGAAGAAGGTTTGCTTGTCACTTGAAAGTCATAGTGAAAGTCTGCTCTTTTCCTCTCTTTTAAGGGAACTTTGCATAACCGAAGACAGAGAACTATTGTAAAAGCAGCCTCTACCTTAGGACTAGAGTTTGGGAGAATTCAGAACTCAGTAAAATCTGTCTCAAAGCTTTTCATTGCTTTAGGCCTCACATATGATCTATTCCAAAAGTGATAAGAGTTTTTAATGAAGAATCAACATTTTTAATCAACAAGCAAGAACCAACATTCAAACTCTGTAATCAAGAGACTATTGTTCTATCAACAGAACAGGACTTTAATAATGCATTGATTACATTTAGTTATTAGTATATTGTATGAATCAAACTTCGTATACAGAAGATGCTTTTGTATAACTGTTTTATATAATGTTTCCTACATTAAACAAAGCAGAAATTGCCATTATAATACCCTTGGTAAAAGTAATTTGGAATCTTTAATCACATATGCATTTTGCATGAGAAATGCTATGTTTAGGTTATTTTCTTCCCCATTTCCAGATCCTGCTCACTTCCCTGGTTTGGCTACCTGGGGTACCTTCTCTCATTGCTTTTTATTCACGTGTAATGTTACTGTTCGTGTTTAAACACTGCATTAAGTGACAGGAGACCACCCTGAGTCATAGATGACACTACAAAAAGAACCACATAACATTACACTAGTAATTCTGAAATTCATAATGTGAAAATAACATGCATCTTAACCCATGCACATTAGAGTTATATTACTTATCTTCATCATGTGTTATTACTTATCTTTATTATCCTAATCATGCTTGTATAATTTTTGTGTATTTAAAGCAAACAGCAGATGATTCTAATTGCAGCAGTCCTGATTCAAAACAACATGGTTGCATTTATATAAGCGATTACTTACAATATAGTGCAATCATATTATAGGATACCATGTTCTGTTATGCTCAGATTGCCTCCAACTTCAAGTCTGCACTTACATTATTTCAAAAAAATCAAAAAGGGAAATTGAAAATATGAATTTAAAGATGCATAGGTACACTGTGATGGGAGACCGAAGTGGAGACAGGATGGAGAGGAATAGGGGCATTACACAGGGAAATAAAGAAAAAGGATTAATCATTAGCAAACTATAGGGATTTATGCAAAAAGAGTGAGCATTTCTTTCCCTTTGTGGTATTCATAGGCCGGTTAGTATGACTTGACTAGATGGGTGTAAGCTACAAAAATGTTCATATTGTGGTCTCTGGTTCACTGCTATCCAGGGTGGCTTCTGTCCAAATTCTTAGTGCTTGGAGACTCCTTGGTGGTCTATGTTTAAGGAATAGTTTTTTTTTTTTTTTAATTTTATTTGTAGGTAAACATCCCCAATAGTAAGAATATCATTGATAATAATATTATTGCTGGCAATTCTGCCTGGATGGAAGAAGAGATACTCTTTGGTTGCATGTGTTATCTCTAGGTTGAGGCACTGCATGGGAACACATGCAGTGCCCCCAGGTATTCCTGTCCTTCCAGGTATTTACAGTTCTAGTAGAAATCTATCCGTATTAATCTCTGTACTGGTCAATTGATACTTTCACAAACACTAAGCCAAGTGTAATGATTTTAACAGAAGTGTTATTTTTTTTTTCTGAAAGGCAGAGGGAAGGTGTGGTGGAGATACTTAAAGCCCTACTACTGTTTTAATAACTTGGATATGATCAAAATCAGCCACGCTTATTATTATTTGTGATAATTTGTGGAAAAGTAGCTGAGAAGCATTTAAGTATTCCACTTTATATATGAAGAGGAAAAAGAGCTCCTCTGCCATATACTGAAACACAAGAGTGTGCTTATTCCCGTCACACTTTCAGAACTTTTATTGGTTTTGTTGCCTTCAAAGTATATATATATTTAAAATTACTACACTTGCCAATTGTATATTACGTAAGGGAGAGCTGCTCTTTTCTCACAACTGTATGCATAGTGTTTTGAAGAAAATTTTGTTTATTAATAGCAATCTGTTTTTCATAGCTTTGCAATTTCTTAGATAATTGGGTAAAGCACAATTTTCCTTTCATGTACTCTGCATACTGAAGAGACAGATGCAATTGCAAGAGAGTGCTTACGCTGAGGGCAAAACTTAAAACTGCTTAATGTGACTTAATGACTAAAAAATGTATATCATTTATAGATGGCATGTAGTACTCAGTGAAGATATTATTATGGTCAATGAATTCTCCTCCCTGACAGTTAGTAAAAGGGTTTGGAATTAAATTTGTTTTTATTTTACTTGTTCAAATAGACACACTGAAAGGAACTGAACTAATCATATGAGCAGCACAAAGGGGATTCATGCCTTTTATTATTTTGTTCTTAATCTTCTCCTAGACAGAAGTTTACATATAACAATATATATTCTAACTGGAAACATAACTGAGAGAAAAAAAAAAAGAGTGAAGAATGGCTATTAGGCAGCCATATAGGAGGGTTATTATACAGCTATATAGACATGTAAACACTCCCAGAAACTTTACTTAATAAGGCCGGCCGCTTGCAGCTATAACTCCATGGCCTGTGACAATCTTTGCATGAAGACATTACTTTTTCCCCCAGGCACCACTATCAAGTTAGTGCAGTTCCCTCAAAACACTTTATTTAGCTTTATTTAAAGCTAAATGTATACAGCATGTGCAGGACTGAAGCTGCAGGCTGAAGAGCACGTTCGCACCCACACAAAAGCGCTCAAGCGGGTGCACAAATGTCCCTATGAAACGTAACAAATGCGGCGGGGAAAATGTCAGCAGGCAGAAATTTCCTGTAGATTTTATCTCCTGCCAAGAGACGCTCTTATGTAATAGAGACACCGCAAGGTCTGTAAGTGATCCTGAATTACCTTAAGATAAGCAGCGGAACAGTCCACTCCGCAGCCTGTAAGGCTGATGTATGGGGCACTGTTTTCCTCATGGGCAATCTCAGACTCAACCTTTCCCTCATTTTTTTTCCTGAAAAGCCTCATGTGATTTATGTATTTTTTTTAGGAATCTGTTGTGAACCAAACCAGACATATCCCAGCACAAAACAGAGAAAATGTGAACGACAACTAACTTTTCTAGTAAGTGGAGGCTGAAATTCAGCGCACTCGAGTTGATGCTGCCTCCAGTGACGGCAGTGCTTCAGCTCTTGCTGCCTTTGGCATGGAGAAAGACTCGACCATGGGCACTGAGGAGCCACTGGTAAGCACATGTGCCTGTCGCGGCACTTTTCATTTTCAAATCTCCGATTTTTAGTGAGTCCTGTAAGAAAAAGAGTCTTGCTTGTGCAATTGTGTATGCAAATGCACATTGACCTACTTTAAATTTTGTTCAGCCTACGTTGTTAAGAAACTTATCCTAAAATCCTAAAATTTGGTGGTCCCCGGGTCACCAAAACGCCCCTGAACCCTCCAAACCAAAGAACCAAAGCTCCCTCTGAACACAACTGAAATTACTGTAGCCTTGGAAAACGCAATGTGCTGGATGCTTAGGCTAGAAAGCAGAGGCAAGAAAAAACCTGCACATCCTTTTCAATATCTGCCTTCTGTAGTGCTCGGTGTCGCTCTCCCGTTAAAGGCATTCTGAAGCCATGCCTCATCCCACAGAAACGACGATAAATATGGCTTACAGCCAACACCCGGCCTCACCGCAGGGCCTGAAATCTCACGTTGATCCCCAAGAAGCCGGCTGGGAGCATGAAGGACAGTTTTTGTTACAAATAGACTCGCTGCTTTATTTAATATCAAAATGTGAGCTTTCATGTGCAATTTTGGAACTGCAAAACCAGGAAGCCCGCTTTCCCGTCAGCTTATGTTGTTGTCACTGGGTCTGAGATTGCATCTCACGATTTAAATGCTCTGAAATTCAGGATGGAAATGCCATGTGAGAAGTCTAGCAACGAGTTCAACAAAACTGGACCGATTACATTACAGCTAAAAATAAAGAATTAGTCCAGTTTCAAGGCGAACTTTCTCTTTTCTTACTTCAGTGTGCAATCTTTTTACTTTAAGAATACTTCTAGAGTACGCCAATCCAGTGCTCGGGCTTTCTACAATGTCAATGAAGAAAAAACACACAAAACATCACAAATTTTGTCTAAATATCAAAAATCATGCAGGCTTTCAGAAACCCACCCCTGTTCCTCTGTCGCTTCCTCCTAGAAAAGTCCTAGGAAAAGCAATACTCTTTTTGTGGAAAATCAGCAAACTGAAGCTCTGGCGAACTGATGGGAAGTCAAGTTACCTCCCCCAAAGCATGACCATGTGAATACAAGGTGTCACGCAGGTGAGCGGCCCGCTCTCTAACCGAAGGGGAGCATAAGGACACATTTAAATATATCATTTAAATACACAGCCAGAAATACGCAGACAGAAATGATGTGTTTAAATACACAGACAGAAATGACGCACAGCGGGTCCTTCACTAGCTTTCACTGCAGTGTCCAGAGGCTTTTGTGTAAACAAACCACTGTAAACCAGGGAGGAAACAGCGGGTTGAAAATAATTCTATTTTTGAGGCTGAACCTGTATTAGCAACATGGATCAAAATCAGCATCACTGCTATCACATTGATCTTGTTTCTTTACTTTAATTGCTTGTACTTCAGTTTCATAAAACTGATAGAAATCACTTACATCACCATCAACGGAAACCTGCAGAAAATAACATTCTTTGGCTTTGCAGGCTTTGTAAAATACACCTGAAGTATTTTAATATTCAGAAACCCATACATTTTAATGTATAAATTATTTTATGTCACTACTTTCAGATATTGCCAGCCAATGACAGGGCAGATTTAGTGCATGTAGGGTGACACTGCCACAAATATAATGTCAGCTTATGGTTATAAAGTTAGACAAATTAGGATTCCTCTGCAATATATATTTAAAGTTTAGTATTCACATATCTCTTGTAAAAGAAATCTGTTACACTTTTCATCTCTGATGCCATACAATATCCACAAGTATTTTTCATTTGTGGGCTGTAAAACATCACAATTATTCATTACATATGGCATTGGCATACTTGTTACAGCTATCCAGTGTGCATTTCAATACCACAATACATTTCTCAGTTTAATATGCTCCTAATGAATCAAGTAAAATTCAAGTAGTTTGGGGCTTCTGCTGACACTGTAACTTATTACTGCTGTAATCGCATCAGGAGGAGAACTGGCCTGCTGACTGCTGCTCCATGCTCAGAAGGGTGGAGGGAAACTCACCGTAATATCCCTAGGAATTTATTACTCTATGGGTTTTTAAAACTACTTCCAAATTTTAGAAAATGTCTTTACATGTCCATTGATCTTACATTTGAAGACCATTGCACTGTGCTAGCCAACCCTGAGCCCAAAATACCCATCCAAGAAAAATATCCAAATTACTGTTTTATAATTTTAAACAAAAGATTTTGCTTTTTGTATTTTGTGCCAGAACTCCCCATTAGAGACTGCACAAGAACCAGAAATTCCTGACTGGAGAGCGTGGGCAGGAAGCCTGCACCGTGCTGAGGAGATGGCTGAACCCTTTGACAACCCACCCTTCCAGAGCTCTTCCTTCAGCCACCAGCGCTGCCCCTGCACACACACTGCAGAAAACGAGTAAGAATATGAGCAACACCCAGGCTCAGGCTGCCCAGCCTTGCTCAGGAGAAAAGTCTGGGCTCTGGGTGTTACAAAATAGCATTACGAAGTTGCCTCTCTGCATTCACACATACCACAGCTTGCAGTCACTTCACTATAATATTGAAAACTTAATAACATGTTGCTGCAAATGCTTTCTGCTGGGAGAAGCCAATGAAACTATTCACAGTAGTATAAAGAGGAGCCACTAATTATCTTCAGGTCTTGCAAAATGTTACGACCTAGTACCAAAAATACATATGGACATGAACAACAACACTTAGGCACGTAGAGCCACTCAAGGACACAAGATTTTCAGGACCTGGGCCTTTCTTCTGCTGTTCGCTGGTTTTGACAGCAAGGTGAAGTTTTGTTCCAGCAATTGAAATGCATAACTCTATAGCCTTATTTTTCACTGTAGCCTTACATTTTAGCCAATACGCTATCAAGAGACACTAATAAGAAAGGCCTATTTTATTCTGTTGGGCAGAGAAAGAATAAACTCAATTATCCAAGGATGGAATATTTCAGGATGAGCCTTAAGACTTTTGGTTTAGATGTTTGGGGAGGGAGCAGTAGGCATTGAGAATACGATCAGTACCCACAAAAGGCACAGAAAACAAGGCTTGTTATCAGTCCTATAGAAACGTTACAGCAGGTTTTTGACTGTGTAACGAAAGCCCAGAAATGGGCCATCCTGTGCTGAACACGTGGTTCATGAAGCGACATGGGCAAATCTCATTTAGAAAGTGGGGTGAAGGGAGATACCTCTTCATTTTAATACCCTGGGGTGCAATTGACTCTTTTTTTTTTTTTTCATAGAAAAGTAGGTTCAAACCCATTGCAATATGTCCTACAGGGAGAAGAAAAGGACAGACGGCAGTAGCTCTGCAGAGCAGAATCCGTCTGTCAGCCTGCAGCCACTGATTCAAAGGGATCTGTTTAGTCTAAGCTGGGTGAGCAAAATCTGTCAATGGGTAGCATAAACATTATTTCGAGTGAAACCATTTGTAACATGCCTTAACTGGCAAATTTCGTTTAATGAATAATGTAACAGCTTTCATACAACAATTCTGCAGCTCTGTGGGTTTTTTTTTTGTCCCTATGCTACAGATACCAAAAATGATGCACAGAATAAGTTCTCTTAATAACAGAGCTTAGACTACATCCATTATCACAGGGGTCACACCTGTCTGCTACAACCACATGAATGCAACCAGAGCAAGACACTAAATGTAAAACACCCACACAGTTAAAACAAGCACCTTTTATTCAGAACATGTCTTATACTAAGACATGAACTAGAGGTAACTCCACATAAATTAAGGAAAAAGCTATTTTGAATAGTAAAAGATAGAAACTGTGTTTAAACTTAAAATTCTTCTGCTACATTCTTCTGCTTCCCAGCTCTGTAAAGCCAGGAGGTCTGATCAACAGAGAGGCGTTTATATGTTTTTTGCAGTCTACACAGTAGCTAAAGGCTAGAAAGATCGAAAACACCACAATGTTGCTGTGGCTGTCTTTCAAAGGGATGGTTAAAGGAGTTCTGAATGAATTATTCTGCCACAGGGAAAATATAACCTGAAATGCTGAAGCCCGGTAGACAGGGCGCATCCAGGAGCTAGAACAGAGTCCCACAGAAAACCACTGGATGTCAAGTTTCATTGGTAGCTATGGTACATAGCTTAAAATAATTGGAAAGTCTCACCTGGAAGAAGTCTTAATTCTTCATTTACCTTTTAAAGGAGTTCTTATATACTATAGCCTTTTCACCCTTTCATTTAGATTGAGCAATATCTATTGTGTACACTGTCACTCTATTTCCAAAAAAGCCCTGGACAATCATAGTACATTAGACTATATGAATATACACACTTCCAAGATATCATTTTTCACTAGAATAAACCCTGCTTACATTCCTTTTAGAATATACACACTTTCAAGAATTTATTAGCACCAACTACAGATGCTCATATCAGAATGAAAAAAGAAAAAAGCGCTCCTAATACACGCATGCACGAAAAACCTCTCCTAAATCAAAGTAATGGGCCAAAATTGTCATGATGTAATTCACTGGCTTTAATGGAGTTATACCAGCTTACAGAATTAAATTTTGCTTACTAACTTTATTAGGAAAAAAAAATGATGGAAATATTTTTTGGAAATCATTGAAGTGAATTGTATAAGATCACATTGGAATAAAAATGTAAATATGAGCATAAAAATAATTACACAAGACTCTGTGTGGGCATCAAGAACAACATTAACAGACTATGGTCTGATGTAAAGAAATACACATAAACTACCACAAAAGAGTAATTTCTCACAGGTTCGAGGCAAAAGATATTGCCCCCTTAGTGAAATTTTTATAAAAGGCTTTTCTTCAGAGAGACAACAGAATGAAAGGGAATGAAGTGTGTCAGGTAAAACCTCTGCATCTCTAAACATTATTCAGATTTAAAGAATGAAAATGTTTCATTATGAGGAAAAAGACATTATGTGCTGAAAGGCTACTCCACCCTCTTATTTATATGTTATCAATCTCTTAGGATCTGCAGTTTGTCAATCTACAGAAACTATAAGCAAAAGTTTTCCTTTTCTTGTAAATTGGCAAAAAATGGATTGTGTATTGACCTATTAAA